AATATTATATTTTTTAAATTTATCTACTTGTTATTGTTTGTAGAATTTTGATGATTAAATTAAATTTATAATTAAATATATATTTTACATAAATTAAAAGTTACGTAAAATAATTTCAACTATGTATTATTTATTTTAGTTATTTTAGTTATTTTTTGAAAATATCTCTTTGAGAAATGAGCTATAAAGATTTCTATATGTCGTCTATTTATCTTATTCACTTTTTACTTTATAATTTTTTTCTTTTTTATAATTTTTTGCGATGAATATGATGTACATAGGTATCTTACTAACCCTTACATAATTATGAATAATTTCCATATTAGAGATGTCCGTTAGAAATAACGTCATTTCTATATTCTATATTTTACTATTTTATGTTCATTAATGCATTTTGTTTATATATGTGAATTCTTAAACCAATTTACTGTTTTCAAGAAAATTATCATAACATATACATGTTCATGAGATGCAAGCAATGCATACATTTATCATTTATCTATCACGATCTCTTATATTATATACAAAAATAAGAAGAAAAAGATATTAATGTAAAGTTTTCAACAAACAAATAGATTAATTTTTTAATAGTTCCTCATGTAATTTAAGAAAACATTTATCTCAAATATCTATTTGTTTTCAAACATCTAAGTTTTGAGAAAAAGTCAATTCTACTAATGTTCATCTTTTGAAAATCTTTATTAAGCTCGAGCTTTCACTATCACAAATTGACATCACATTTATCAAAAAATTTACTGCTATTTAGCTGTGCTAATTTGTTGTTCTACCTGAGTTCTGTTTCTCTTTAGTCTGAGTTATTTAACAGGAAATTGAGTTCAAAAGATGAGTTGGGGAGTTAATTTGTCATTAAGCTGTCCTCCATAATAAAAAAATATAGGCATGTGTTATAAAAAACGCATTAGAATTTATTGTTAATTTATTACTTTAACATAGCACAAAAATATTTCAGAAATTTAATATTTTTTGCGAAATACCATCAGATAACAGAATACCGCACAATCAAATTTAAAAGCCAAAATATTGAATTTTTGAAATATAATTAATATAATTGCGTTAAATCAATAAATTAATAGTATATTTGATGCTTCTGTTTTTTTATTTTTTTTAATTATGTACACACCTATATATATATA